AGCCTTTGTTGTTTGAGCACTTTTGAATTTTAATAAATTGCACTTGGGTTCTTTAACTTGCCATTCAGTGGACCGTTCATTACAACAACCACCTGGCAGTGCATTACAATAGTCCAGTCTAGAGGTCATGAATGCATGGACTAGCTTTTCTGCATCAGAAACAGGTAACATGTTCTGTAGTTTGGCAATGATTCTAAGATGGAAGTATGCTGTTTTTGTAAAATGGGAAATGATTTTCAAAAGACAAGTTGCAGTCTAATATAACACCTACATTTTTGACTGTAGAGGAAATAACAGTCATCTGTCTAGATTGTAAATTAGATAATTTAGAAGTTTCATCTGGTCTTGTTGAAATATATAGCTGAGTATCATAAGCATAACAATGGAAACTAATCCCGTATTTTTTTTAATGATATTACCAAGGGGCAACATGTATATTGAAAATAGCAGAGGGCCTAGGACAAATCCTTGTGGCATTGCAGACTGCTTTCTTGTCTGTTGTTTAAATAAAAAAAAAAATCAGCAATTAGTATCATAATTGGCCCATTTGCTTGTAAAAAACCTGCAATCGGAATCAGCCAAGAAAAAAAAAAAATCATGATCCATGCATCCCGAATACACTTTTGATTAAAACAGTTTAAGAAAATCTATAAACTCCCGTAAAATTTAAATTGTTATAATTGTTTGATTATGTGCTTGAACATGTTAACATGCTTAGTGTTTAGTATTTCATAATAATTTTACTTAATGTACTTCCTGTTTTAAAGTTTTCTCTTTAAAAAGTTCATTTCTGGTATAATGCTGAATTGTGCTGCTTGTTATACAAAAGTAAACTGGCTTCACACAATCAAAGTAGCAGATATAGCAAATACTGTATGTAGCATAAATAAGTAATACGTTAGTAAGCAATTTCGCTGTATTAAATCTCATATTAACTCACAATGGCCCACATAAAGGAAACTTGTTGCTTGCACACTACAGTCTATTTGTGGGCAGTAGTGTTGGGTCGTTCTTGAACGATTCGTTCATTTTGAAC